AAGTATGAGTGAAAATTCAATGTATAGATTCTTATCTTCCAAAAATGGTAGAAACTTAGGTGGAAGGAAGAATGTTGGCTTATATCAAGTTGACAATTCCAATGACATAACTGCCGAGGTGAAATCTTTATCTCAAAGGTTTGATCAATTTTTGATCAACCACAATTCGATGAATCAAGTGTCTTCCTCCCCTAATCATGTTCATCATCATAATTCAAATGAATGTTGCATGACTTGTTCTAGTGTTTACATTCTACTTCCAATTGTCCTCATAGACATGTGCAAAATGAGCACTAATAACAAGTAAATGCCATTTTTGTTCACTAAGGGAATAATCCATATGGCTCACATTACAATCCCGGATGGAGGAACCATCCAAACTTCTCTTGGAAAAGCCAAGGGGAAGGCTAAAACCCTCCCCAAAGTGGTTTTCAAGGAAAGTATGTTCCACCTCTAATGCAAGGCTAAGATTCCCAAGGTTATAGATCACCTTTTCAATCACATTGAAACCAAATTTCTAACTCTCATTTTCCTAATCAATCATCTTACTCCCAAGGAAATTCTAGGAGTCCCGCTTTTGAGGAAAAAGTGTTGACCGCATTGGGCACTTTAGAGGTCAATACTCAATTGCTTCATTCCTATTCTCAATCCATTGCTAAACTAGAAACCCAAGTCGGGCAAATAGCTAGTACCTTGAATGCTAGAGAGAAAGGGAAGATGCCTCTAAATACCCCACCAAAGCAATAATTTTTGGTGGAGACCAATTCTTCATCGGAAGGTCACACAATTGAACATGTTAATGCGGTGACAACCTTAAGGAGTGGAAAAATTATTGATAACCAAGTTGATGTCCAAAATGAAGAGAGTGAACCGGTGCAACCAAAAGTTGACACCCGTCCCATTTTATATCCTATTCCTCCTTCATTGCATGTGCATGACCCATTTGTTGAGAAAGTGATGGAAAATGATTTGAACAAAGTTTTGAAGGATTATTTGAAAAATTCTTGTGTTGAAGATGTTTCGAAAAAAGACTTTGAAAAGGTTTTTGAACCAAAGGCTCTATTTCTGGATGCCTTAAAAGGATCCATTTCTATTGAAAAGCAAAAGACCAAAGTGAATGAAATAATTGAAGTGTTTAGGCAAGTGAAGATCAATCTTCCACTTTTGGATGCAATTAAGAAAATTCCGGCTTATGCCAAGTTTTTAAGAGATCTTTGTACCCAAAAGAGAAAGAATAAGAGCCAAGCACCAAAGAAAGTGGTCTTGACCGAGCAAATGAATTGTATCTTCCAACACAACACTCTCCCAAAATTTAAGGACCCCGATTCACCTACTACTTCTTGCATCATTGGTGACCATGTCATTAATCGGGCTCTTCTAGATTTAGGAACAAGTGTTAACCTTCTTCCATATTCAGTGTATGTCAAATTATGCTTAGGAGACTTGAAATTGACGTCGGTAGTTTTGCAACTTGCCGACCGATCCATCAAAAAACCCCGGGGTATTATTAAGGATGTGTTGATTAAAATTGATAAATTCTTTTTCTCGGTTGATTTCATTTTCATTGACACGGAACTGGTCCCAAATCCCAAGAATCAAATTCCTGTTATCCTTGGTCGTCCATTCTTGGCAATTGCACATACCAACATTAATTGTAGGACGGGGATAATGAAAATTTCATTTGGGCATATGAAGGTGAAATTGAATATATTTAATTCAACCCCAAGTTTGAATGACGAGTATGAAGAAATGTGTGTTGTGGAGAAGTGTTTTGAGAATGAATTTGAAAAAATTGATTCTTTACTTGAATTGTTTCAGTTAGCTGATTTGATTTATTCAGTTAGTTATTTTGATTTATTCAGTTAGTTGATTTCAAAAGGTTTGCCTTCCAAAAAGATTTCAAAGAATGTTGATTTGAAAACAAATTTTGAAAGGGCATGGAAGCCCAAAAATTGCATTGACAAAGGACAATCAATCTCTTTTGATTCAAACCCAACAAGTTCTTTAGGGAGCCATTTGTTGGGAGGGATTCAAAATACCATTCACCCCATCAAGGAGGGGATGCATCACAAGATTTTTGATCCGGGCTAAAGGAGCCCAACGTCTTGCTAGAGACATTAAAGACTAGTGTATTTCGTAGGGTTTGACAACCCTATTCCTCCCTCATTTCTATTTTTATATGTTTCTGCATCATTTGGATATGAGTTGAATTGAAAAATCCGGCTTGAGAGCCATTTTCTGCATTTTGAGTACTGTCAGGGACATTTCGACCGACCGAACTTAAGTTAGATTAATCGAAGTCCCACTTCGATCGATCGAATCACTTATTTTGAGGATTTTTTAATTTCTATTTCGATCGATCAAGGGCAGGTTCAATCGATCAAAATCCAAGTTGGATCGATCGAAGTTAAGTGTTTGATCGATCGTATTACTTCGATCGACTGAAAATATGAGATTTGAAAATTTTCGAAAATCCCTTTTTCTTTTCTTTTTATTTTTCTTTCCTTCTCCTATTCATCTTCTTCCCCCTCTCTCACTCAAACCCTATGCCGCCGCCACCTTCATCTCTCTTCCTCCCCAAATCAACCTCACTCTCCCATCTCATTCTCTCTAATCTCTCTCAATCTCACTCCCTCACATCACCATCCAACCTCCTCTCATCTCCAGAAGAAGCTAAAGCTTCTCATTCCATCCCTCCATTTTTACCGGCGAGTTTTGGCCCAAAGGTGGCCAAAACTAGTTCTATCTTCTCTTTTCTCCCTCGGATTCCATCTTATACATGGCTAAGGAGGATTCGAAATCAAGCTCCGACGACTTCCTGCATTTTCCTGCTAGACTCTAGTGAGTCTCCGGTCATCTTCTTCGACACTGGCGAGCTTGAAAAAAATTCCAGTTTTGATCCTGATTTCTTCCTCCACTCTTCTCTATTATCTAGATTTTCGGGTGAGTTTCAAATTTCCAAGTTTTCATTTTTGCATCATTTTATTTTTACATTTTTTTTTACTGTCTTTTGCTTTTTGTTTTCATTTTATTTTAGCATGTTAATTTTCATCTTGTATATATTCTTGTGCATATGAAATCATTGAAAACAAACTAAAAAAAATAAAAATAAAAATAAAAATGAAAAATGAAAAATAACAAAACTAAACAAAAATTTTGTGAAAGTTGTTGCTACAAAAAAATATATATTTGGAAACAACTAATTTGGGACTGAATTCTGATGTTCTTTGAATGTTGTTGAAAACAATTGAAATAAATTGTGGATGCTGATTGTAGTTGTTGATTGTAGTTATTAGAAGGAGAATGGGCAAATTTCATTGGATTTGTAGTTTGGTTGTGGGTGATGTCCCTCTTAATTGTTGAAATTGCTTGAATGGATTGTTGAAGTTGATTTAATTAATGAATTGTTGTGTTTGTAATTTTTGGGATGTCCATTTTTAAGGGGAAACCATGCCGGATTTTTACAAAATTTCTACACTTAGTTTTTAAAACACGGCATGAGATTTGATTCAAAAATTTTGAATTGGAATTTGAAAGGATTTTGCAAGTTGATTTTAGAAAGCAAAGAAAGCAAATTTTTAAATGTTTTCCAAGTTGAGCTATTGATGTTGATTTTGAAATGGCATTGCAAAGTTTGAATTGTTGTGAGCATAGTTCCTCCTTGTCCCATTTATTTGTCTTGAAAATGAATTGCATGGATTTATTCCAAGTTGTCTACATTGCTTGTAAGCATGACTTGACTCTGTGTTTTTAAATTAAAAAATAATAATAAGTCTTGTCTTCAATGCATAAAATGTTTCAAATGGACTTCTTTGCAACGTTTCAGTTGGATTGAGCGCATTATTTTGGTAAAATGATCTCTAATTGTTGAAATATTTTGTGATCACTCTTGTTGGGTTTCACATACTTAAAAAGGAAAAAATTTGAACTTTGTTTGAAAATGTGAAGTTGAGTTGCATAATTCCTTCTACAATTGTTTATTCATTGCATAATTCTTGTCATGAAGCTTTTCTACAGTGCAATTGAATGTCTTGACCTCAAAATTTTCAAAAATTCCAATTTTATCCCAAAAGTGTTGAAAAATTCCATAGTTGACCAAAATGCCCTTGATTGAGTTCAAGCTTGTTCCATTTGATTCCTTTGCATCTATTTGCATGTTCTAAGTGCCTTTGATCTTGTATGTGATCCAATTCTTGATTCTTGCCATTCTAGAGCCCAATTTGATATCTTTTGGCCTTCTTCATCATGGTTTTGATTCTCTGGTACTTAATGACTTTGAAATTTGTCAATTGTGATTCCTTTCGAATAATTATGTGCTCCATGGAATAATTGCGACCTGTTGCTTGTATATACACCATTCTGTACACACTTATCTCACATTGACAGTTTTTGAGATTTTCTATGCATCTCTTAAGCCTATCTTCTTGGAATTGATTTCTGATTAAGTTTGGGGGTATGATATGAATTCTTGGAATTTAAAATGCATGATTTGGATGTTGTCTTTATTCTTTGGCCTTAGTTGTGTTTTTAAACTATAATGTGAACCAAGATAGGACTGTGTTGACTTGATATTGATGTATATCTGTTTCATTGCCATTTGCTTCATATCTTCCACTTATGATCTGTTCTTAATGACCGAGGTTCTTTCCGGTCCAGATTTTGACATCTAGAGGGTAAGCTTCTTGTATTCTTGATATTTACTCAGTCTCTGCTTCATTTAAGTATTAGAGGAGGTCAGGAGTCATACGTGATCATAGGATGTTGATTTTGTTGCATTGCAGTACAAGATATTTCTTTGTCTGGAGTTGTTCTTATTTGTGCATCATTCAGATATGTGCCATCTAGTTGCATACCATGTCCAAGATTCTTTCTTGAACTTGCCTATCATAACATGCCTTGGATTACTGTGTCTTGCAATTGTGCATTAGACTTAGTCTTTATTGCATGACATGCCTGTTTCTTGATTCCTAGGTTGACAGTTGCCATACTTATACACTCCATGTTATCCTGTTCACTGCATTTGATCTTCATTATTGCAATTGTAAACATTCTTGCTAAGAATTGATACGATGTCATCCTAGAGTTTACTTGTCACATCATTGCAGCATTTTCTTGTGTTTTAGTTTTATGAATGCACGTTGCTTTATTTATGCACATCATAGCCTATGCTTATTTTGTTGATCATGTTTTTGCTCAAATTGTTCTATATGTGACTTTTCTACCCTCTATGCCATCATTGCATATATGATCTATTTTATTTAGATAAGGTATGTTAAATAATGATTCTGAAGCTTTCTTATTCATTTCTTGCACAAGCATGATCCTATCTGTTTACCCTATCTAGTCTTACTTGATTCAGGCATGCTTTGTGTTTTCTTATCAGTTGCTTACCTTATCCTAAACATGTGCACTAATTTAAAATTGTTTTGCAGATGTAGCATCGAAGAAAGACTCTTGCCAGGAAACGAGTTCCCCCAGTGCCACAGCCTGTACCTCCAGTTGCAGAGTCTCCCTCTTCAACTTCTTCTTCCTCGGCATCAGTTCATTCTAATACATCTGCCATGGATATCGAGCATGCCATTGTTAGAGAGGTCCCCACTGAGTTTTATGCTAGTAGAGCCTGGAGACCGAGCATAGATTTGATATAACTACATTTGCTACATTGGACCAGACTAGATGGTCTTATGATGAGTTTGTGAGACGGGGTAGCACAGCCATTATGACTCCTGCAGACATAGTTGTCTATCCCCGGTTGGTTGCTCTCTTCTATCAGCACCTCCGGATGGATGAGGACGACAAAATTCTACTGCACACCACCATCAATGGTCAGGAGATAGACATTTCTTTGCCGGCCATAGCTGCTGCCAGCCGTTGCCCCCACACTTCTCCACTAGATGAGGATACTCAGGAGCCTCTCTACCCTGATCATCCACCATTCCCTACTGAGCAGACCATGGTTGCCATATTATCACCACAGGTGGTATATGAGGGGCACAAATTTTTAGACCGGGTTGAGATAGATCCCCAGTACTAGTTCTTCAACTCCGTGCTTCACCTCAATACCTTCCCTACCGGTCGTGGCACTTAGAGGAGAGAGGGCATATTTTAGGCTTTATATTGTTTACATCAGGGATACTGGATCTCCATTCCTGCGCTCATCTAGGAGCTTATCCACAAGTTCTGGAAGAACTTGCATTTTACATCTACCACCAGAGCTGAGACCTAGCTGTTACCTTTTAGCCATCTTATCACACAGCTGCTCATCGACCAAGGATACCAGTTTGACCCTGAAGAGATCCCAGAGCCCGACAATGACAGGGCAAAAAGAGCTTATGATCTGACCAAGTGGAATAAGACTTTCAATGCTTGCCGCAAAAACAAAGCCAATAGGGACATGAAGAGATTACAAGCACAGTTACAGAGAGAGGTAGCATAGGAAGTAGCAGTAAGCGATGCTCCAGAGGATGATACAGCTGATAGATCTCCTCCTAGACAAAGACGTCGCGTTACTATTTCCGGATCCACCCCCCAGCCAAATGTACTGGCTGCATCACAGCAAACCATCCTCCCGCACTGATTCTAGCTACAGATCAGAGGTAGCTCAGTTGCATACAGATTTCATATCCTTCAGAGCTGACATGACTGGTCGATATGAGGATATTTCGTGGAGGTATGATGACCTGGTGAGGAGACACGACGATCTGGTAGGGAGACATGATGATTTAGTTCGGAGATCAAATGCCCTGCGTGCTTAGGTAGCTAAGGTGAGACATAAGCTTGGAGCTTTGAGGACTGACCTTACCACTTCGCTCACTCGCCTAGCTAAGGTGAGACATGAGCTTGGAGCTTTAAGGACCGATCTTACCACTTCGCTCACTCGCCATAGCACCGAGATGTCTGCCATGCTGCAGCATATTTCTGACATAATTACTCCAGACCCCTCTGTTTGATGCCATCATTTTCTCTCTCTCATACTCATTATCTCTATTGCTCTGACTGTGATTTTTCTCCATCATATTTAGATTTTTGCACTGGTTTTCGATATTTTCCTGGATACTTATTTGGATATTTCTGTTAGATACTGCTTTGGATATTTATTCTTGGATATTTGATATTTGGATATTGTTTTATATGGTTGTTTTGGATGCTTTCTGGATAGTTGGTTTTGCACTTATTTTTTATATATGGATTTTTGGATATTTGATATCAGTTTTGTATGTTATGAGCCATATCTTGCTATATGCCATGATTTTTGCCCAGTTCTCAGTTTTACTTCTCAAATATATCATTGATGCATATGCTTTGACAGTTGTTAGTGTGACCATTTTCAGACAGGTTTTTGGAATCTAAGTTTGGGGGTGCACCTTCCAAAGCTAAGCTTTCGTTGCCGGGTCCCTTTTGCTTCACCCATTTGGTATACTCTTTCCATTATCTATTGCTTCTTTGTACATTAAGGACAATGTACAGATTAAGTTTGGGGGTGTATTAACATATCTTACATGTTGTACTTCATTTCTATGCGTGTGGTATGATTTGAGAGTCTGGGCTATGATTTTGATCTTTTGAGGGCCATGATACTTAGAATTTAAAGAAATTGCTTGACTTGAGAGTCCAATACTCCTTGTATGCCTTGTGGATGCCATTTAGGAAAATTTTTTCGAAAGATTGATATCTTGTTCGCATTTGTGGTCCACATTATTCTAATTTTGTGATTGTTTTAAGATGCACTCTAGGATTCTACACTAGCATAAGCGCACAATAGCATTCATTTGTGGGGAACATGCTATGTTGATTATTGAATTGGTTATATCCCAATTGGGCTAATAGTGCATTGAAAGCTTTCATTTTGACAAAAGTAGATAATAATCCCTTTTCATTGAGTAGCAGGGATTCTAGCCTCATCAAGCACTGAATTTCTTGCGCCGAAAGGTGGAGGACCCAAACTCTAGGTTAATAATTGAACTTAAAAAAAAAAAAAAAAAAAAAAGTTACAAAAGCAATAAAAAAGTGAGGACTTCTCCCAAAAGGTGAGAAGTGGGAAATGATTAGATGGAGGTTTTTTTATATATGTAGCTTAGTTGATTTGAGCTTATAAGTCCTTAGGGGTGTTTGAACACCTAATGCCCTAAAGCCATCCGGTTTGGGAGTCATTGACCTAACGCTCGACTTCATGGATCGCTAGAAAGCTTAATAGATCAACACATTGCACCATGCTACCATCTTTGATCCTTAGGATAGTAAAAAAAAAAAAATCGAGTGAAAAGAATAAGCATACCTAGTTGAATAAGCTTTAATAAAAGGTCCACTCTTTGTTTTGATGATCGGGACTAGATTTGTGTGCTAGTTTGAGGGTAAAGATGTGATCATTTCTTTAGTTGGCTTAGATAACAACATATTTGATGTCAGTTCACTCAAAAAGGATTCTAATGTTTTTTTGATTTGCATAATCATTCTCTTGATGTGTGGAAGACCATACACTACAACAAATGTGACCCTTTGTGATGAAAATTTTAGCAACAAAATTGATTTTGTGAGTAAAGGTAGCTCTTTAGTAACGACCATAATCTTTGTCACAAAAAGAATATACTTTAGTGTCGAAATATAACGTTGGTCACTACATGTTACATTTTAATGGCTAAAGATTATATCGTCTCCCTTTTCTCTATACTAGGTCGTATCCCTAAGAATTAGACTTTCTAAAAATAACCCATCCCCATATTATATCTTAAAGACAAAAATCACATCTAATCTTAATTACCTCATAATGAAAAAACACTGGTATACCCTAATGACCCCCAAAAATTTTCCTTTGATTTCCCATCGCGCCTAATTTACACACGATTTCTCATCTTCAATATATAATTGCCCCCACACAAAAGGGTAGAGAGAATGGCGATGAATATAGGGATGATGGATAATGCGTACTTTGTTGGGAGGGGTGAGATTCTCTCTTGGATCAATGCCAGGCTTTCAGCTCAATCTATCTCGTATTGAGGAGGTACCTTCCCTCTCTCCCTCCTCTTTCCTCCGTATTAGGGTTTTCATCGTTGACATATATACATATACTATGACATATATTTCTTAGTGGAGATTAAGCAATCGAAACTTTGAACTCTAATCATAATAATGTTATTGGGGCCTATTAGTAACAAGAAATTGACGATTTCTGTGTTCTTATTATGTTTTCCGGTGATAATTCCCTATCCCCATCTCTTTTCTATTTTTGACATTTTCATGGTGATTCATATTTATTTATTCACTCATGCTGTTTTTGAAAGTTTTTTTATTTTTTTATTTTTTTTCATTTATAAATTTCAAAATAACCGGATCTTTATTGGGTATATAAAGAGTAATAATTTCTATAATTTTATCTAGTAAAATAGTATGGGTTCAATTCTTTTTTTTCCAAGTAATTAGTTGCGATAAATTTTTTTTTTTTTTTTTTTTTTTCTGTAAACTCTGTACTTTATATTTGAAATTACTAAATCACTACAACAGTATCATCAAGGAAAGTGCAAGATAAATATTAGTCCCAAAAACAGTTGATTGACTAGCAATGATCATTCAAACCAACTCGAATTCCCATATCAACCCAATAGACTATTACAAAATTTAATAGTTCTGTATGATTTTTGTGAAGAACTTGCTGAAAATCTTAAAAACCCTTGAATATTCTCTTTAATGTGGCCGCCTCTTGTTTCCCTTATATATTAGAGATTTTTAGTCTATGAGTGCCCTTTGTTTTCCAATGATGGAAGTTCTTTACTGAGAATCTTTTTAGTCTTAAGGTCCTTGACCTTTTTTTTCAACAATTGTCTCTCTTTTTCTAATTAAGCGATGCTGATCATTTGGGCAGTGTTACTAACAGTGCAATCACCACATTTTAATTCACACGATTCACCACAATAGAGTCACTATTTTAAGTTTTTCTTATCTCTTATATATTGTATTTGTACCACTTGGTAAAGACACTAACATTATTCTTTTTACTTCTTTTTTTTATTATTGTTTTTGTAGGCTTGATAATTCTTAAATTAGCGAGGATTTTTACTGATCATACTCTGGTAAAAAAGTCTAAAGTTGGGTTATGTTGTTTCCATTTCTATTACCTTTTGTTTGAAACTTTTTTTTTTCTTTCGTAGTTGGATATATTAGTTTTGTTCTTTTAAGGTTTATTCAAATTTGTAACTTATTTTTTTTTATTGTTTTTGTAGGCTTGATAATTCTTAAATTAACGAGGCTTTTTACTGATCATACTCTGGTAAGAAAGTCTAAAGTTGGGTTATATTGTTGCCATTTCTATTACCTTTTGTTTGAAACTTTTTTTTTTCTTTCGCAGTTGGATATATTAGTTTTGTTCTTTTAAGGTTTATTCATATTTGTAACTTATTTTTTATATTAATAATGATGCGTTTTACTTTAGAACTTTAGAACTTTTAAATTCCTTATTGCATATCATAAAATCTCTCATTTAGTCATAGTAATTATTTGCCTTAATTCACATTTATGACATTCACAAACATATTTGGTTAGCAAAAGTAGCCCTTTAGTAAGCGAAGTTAAATTCTCCACTATTATTTGGTTTCACACTAAAGTAAAATGAAGTTAGCGTATGTGTATCAATAAGAGATTGATGTATTGTTGGGCTCAGCCAATCTAAATTCATTAAGGATGGTTTTTTTTTTTAACATATATATATATTTTATTTCATGTTTAAAGTTCTCTTTAAGGTAGCAAGTCTTGGAGAATCTGATATGAACACATTGTAGTAATTTTTTTATATAGAAGTTGAGTAATATACCAATAGAGCTGATCAAAAACATATTATTGTAATTATCGTGCATAAACAAAAATGAAAATTGAGCATGATTCTCTGATAGTCACTTTATGCAATGCTACATTCTCGATTTATTCATCCATTAAATTACACATAATTAGAGAAAAAGCTTATATAATCTTATAAGTTGTACACAATATTCTAATGACCTCTATCTTTTTGAATTGTAGAGTGATTGATTGGGGATGACATGAAGAAAACGAAGTGCTCAGGGAAACGACGAACTAAAGTGACGAGATTCGATAAAAAGAACTTTGAAGTGTTACCATAGATGGAGAGTTGGGAGTTTACTTTTATGTTTTAGTTTGGTCTTTTGTATTAGACAATTGAAAGTTTAGTTTATATTTTGCCTTAGAATTGAACAAATGTAGAAATTTATTCAAATTTATGATAAATTTGTATTTGTATACAAAATTATTATGTATTTCGTAATAAAATTAAATGTTATGTTTAAATTTGTGTTGCTATATGGAGTTTGAAATGTGTACAGCTGAATTTGTGTTGCTATTTAGACTTTTTTCAATATTAGCAACAACGATAAGAAGTTTAGAAAGAATGTAATAATTAGTTTTTAGCAACGAAAGCCATTAGTTAGTGATGAAAACATTTTTTGCTAATGCCTAATAAAATGTGACGAAAATTTTAGTCGCTAAAAGGGAAACAGACATGACGAAAAGTTTCATCAGTAAAAGTCATGCAACCGTGACGAAAAGTTTTTTGTCACTAAAAGCCAAGGCAATAGTGATGAAATTCTCATTCGTCACTATAGGTCAACCGAGACGATTATATAGCAACAAACTAGTGACAAATGATTTTTCGTCACTAAAAACTTTTAGTAACAAAAATTTAGGTTTTTGTGACGAAAAAAAAACGTTGGTAAAGGTCACTTTTGTTGTAGTGATACTTGCTTGTTTGATGTTGAGATTTTGGGAGATTGCATGGAAAGGGTTGAAAAATTGCATACTTGAGGTAGTTTTCTCCCAATGTTTGTTTTGTATATTGGTTCCTCTCTTGTGAGAAAGAGCTGAATGTTTGTGGGCATCGTTTCTGGAAACCCTCACGAGACTTCACTTGTCCACTAGGGGTAACTTAGGGGTTTAAAAGGCTTGTTGCATATGCTAAATGCAATCGTGTTCCCTATGAAAGTGGCTTTATCCTTTTATTGTTTTCTAGTTTATAGTTGTATAGATGTTTGTTTCTTTCCTTTCCTTACAGTTCATTGCTAGGGACTAGCAATATCTAAGTTTGGGGGTGTGATGAGTGTTCAAATGTGACTCATTTTAACACCTAAGCTAGGGTATTTTAGTCCAATCATCTGTCTTATTTTCATGTCTTAGATACTTATTTGTGTTATTGCCTATTTCAGGTGAATAATGTTCAAACAGGCTAACAAGAGCTATTTAGATCATTTTTGGAGTTAAGGAGCAAAGTTGGAAATAAGCCAAAAAAAATGCATCAGGGCAACTTCGATCGATTGAAGGGGAGTCTCGATCGATCGAAATGCTCTTCAATCGATCAAAATGAAGGCGGTGCCAGCTCAGCCAATGGGATAGACTCTGGAAGATATTTTGGGTGCCACGTCAGCTTCGATCGATCGAAGCTCTAGTGTTCGATCGATTGAAAATGCTGCTGGCAGTGAGCTGTTTAATTCCAGAGCGCGCCATTTTCTACGTACCATGCATAGTTGCAAATTTCCTCCAATCAGAGGCTATTATATCGATTTGGTCCGTACTTAAAGGAGTGTAATTGATATCATTAAACAAGAATTGTAATAGCTAGATAGTTTTTGATTACCAATTATAGAATAGAAAATTTTCCTCTCTAGAACTAGGGTTTTGGGAAGAAAGTAAGGATGGAGATGATGATGCCACCCTCTAAGCTAGCCATTGAGGGTTCCATGTCCACTACCATGAGTGGCTAAATCCTTCTCTTGGGGCTAGAGATGACCCTACGCTTACTTCTCAAACTTAGCTTTTATGTATTTTTGGGGATTTTAATTGTAATGAATGTTTTGACCATGGATTAATATATATCTTGTAATCTTTACTTGATTTATATGATTTAATGCTTTCAATTGATCATTTAGCTCTAGTCATATGTCTATGTATGCTAGAATTGATGTTCATGTGTTTTCCTCTAGAGTTAACAGAATTGATGCATGTCTATGTGTGTTGATGATGTTAATCTAGTGATGGTCAAGGCATTGTGCTAAATTAAACACTTTTGAGATTTATTTGATGGTTCACACTTGTTTCTTGATGGATTGTATGATACCCCTCGAATCCAAGACACAGGTTGATCTGGTCCAAGCCCAAACTCGAGGAAATATCAAATAATTAATATTTAAAATGAACACGGAATACAAAAATGAAATAAGAAATAAATAATTAAGAGCTGTAAGAAATCTAAGTTTAAAAATCCTTGAATAAATAAAATTAAAATCCAGAAATCCAATCCTCCATCAAACCTCCAGTAATTAACGACTCGGGAATCCATCTCTAGTGGAGCCCTAATGAAAACCAAACTGAAAGAACATCCAAAGTTTAACCACAGAGAGAAGTCCTACGTCGTCGGAAGAGTGACCGATAGTCTCTGCTTAGCACAATCAATCCTAAGACTGGAACTGTTGAATACCTGAAATATAGAAATAGGTCAGGCCCACAAACAAGTTTCATCCTACTACAATCCAACAGAGACTCGATACGCATGTACATCCTAACCAACTCAACAATAACTATGTAGTCCGTACATATATATATATATCCACACTATAGGACTCTCACTGGACTATGATGAAGGTCTCAACCTGAGTAGAAGGCAACATGCAAAACGCATCTGAGTAGGCATGACTACCAAAGCCTAACAAGGTATACCTCAACCAACATAGCCAGCTACGCATCCTACTGCATATACGCTACCTAACCGTCAACTCTGAGACTCAAGCTCATATCGCGGTACCATAAAAATATATTTAAAGTCCTATCCTATCCATCCATAAGAAATCCAGTAAGCCGTTCAGCTTGTTCAGCTACTCTGACTTACATATCCATAGCAAGTAATCGAGTTAGTCATTCAACTTTGTTTCAACTGATCAGACTTAAATATAAGTAGGATTAATTTTATAATCCATTTCCTTATTCCATATAGGTAGGATTTAGTATTTTGAAACTAATCCGTCCCTAGTATGCCACTGTCCCATACCGGTGCATACAATCTATCCATCTAGTAGTTGATAATACAGATAATGAAAGTAAATATCAACTAATCCATACATCTAATAATTGATAATTAAAATATTAAATATAAACATCAATTTTTCCATACTAAGCATGATAAAATTATGTAATTTAACAGGCTTATTTAATACAACTCCATACAGTCCAATAATTGATATTACAAATCCTATATGTAAGCATCAATTAATTCCAAGTAAGCATAATAGAATATATAAATTTACATGCTTATTTATAACACTAGACCATGATTTAAACTATAAAATCATTTTCGAAAAATTGCTAAAACAATGATAAACAATTTTAATCCTCTACATCTAGAACAGTATACCAATTTGTGTAAGAATTTCATACTGTTCAAACTATAATACAAGGTGATTTATTATGCATTAACAAGGCTCTTGGGAGTTTTAAATAAGCTCAGGACACCTCCGAAAACCTCCAATATAGCTTCTAATTAAACTGGAACATCAAAATCCAAGTACAGGAGTAAAATCCATCGCAGAAATTAAAAACAAATTTAAAATCCACAAAGGAGCAGGCTCCAAAAAGATGTAGAGTAGGCTCTAATTTAAGGTAGAGGAGGCTCCAATTTAAGGTAGAGGAGGCTCCAATTTTAGGTAGAGTAGGCTCCAATTTTAGGTAAAGCAGGCTCTAATTTTAGGTAGAGCAGGCTCCACTCCCCTTGGAGCCACCTCTACATCATGTGGAGCCAGCTCCACTTCAATGGAACCCCCTCCATTGAAGGGTGAAGCCGCCTCCACTCTTCCCAGCCTCCGTCTTCCCCGACGCCGGCTGTTTTCTGACTTTCTGATTGTCCTTGCTAAGGTTCCTAACCCTCTATTCTAGGTTCCAGACAGTCCCAACAATTTATTAAATTCATTATGCATCAATTAACATCAATTAAAACATGAATTATGCAAGGAAATTTACAAACAAGCAAACACCAATTCATGTAAAGGAATACTGTTATAATTGAAATTAACATGCGAACCAGATTAATCTTTAATGTCAATTTACTCATGGAGTTGTGTTAGGCATGTAAAGAACACGAGTCAAAGAGAGAGAGTTAGGAATAGAACGTGCCTGCGAGATTTTGAATTAAAATCTCTACGCCATCTTCCTAGATTTTCCGGCGATCCTTCACCGTTTTAATCCCTTTGTTTCTCCTTGGTTCCACACACGTACAACACCTCTTCAATCCTTCCTTGGTTCAGGCTTAGTCCCAGCTAAACCCTAGTTTTCCTCTCTCTGTTTCTCTCAAGTCTCTCTCTGTTTTCTCTCTGCCTCCAGTACGTGTATAGGGTTCTAAAACCCTTGGCAGATTAATACAGATATATTTATAGGCCAATCCTTTAACCCTAATTCTAATCATATTAAGAGACAGAAAACTAAAAACAAATAAAGCTAGTCGGCCAAAAACTCAATTACCTAAATAAAAAATAAAACCCTAATTAAACATTTAATGAAAACAGGCAATTAAATTACCACCTAAACATACATTAATGAAAACAAATAGTTTAAAACAAGTAATTTAACTAAATAAAAACAATTAAGCAAATAATTCAATTTAAACAAAAACACACAAATAATTCAATTAAATAAAACCAAAACCCAACAAATAGGCAAATAGACAAATAAGCCAAAAATGCAATAAAACATTCAATAAAATGCCAAGACTATCATTTTTAAATTAGGGGTATTACATTCTTCCCCCTTAACAAAAGAAATTCTGTCCTCGGAATTCCTTCTTACCTTCCTTCCAATATTTCAAGAAACTGCGAGTGAATTACATCCTCCCATTTCCAAGTGGACTCAGCCTTATTGTGATGACTTCACTGAACACGCACTAAAGGGATAACCTTATTACAAAGAATTTGATCCTGAAGGTCGACAATACGACACGGTGGCTCCAAATATGTTGCATCCGGTTGTAACTCAATCTCCCCAACATCGATATGTTAATACCGATCCTCATCTCGTAGAAATTTCCGTAACATGGAAACATGGAACACATTATGCACACGACCCAAATTATTCGGAAGTGCCAACCGATAAGCTATAGCTCCAACTCGATCCGTAATCATGAATGGACTGACAAACCGCGGCGGCAACTTCCCTTTCTTCCCAAA